AGTGACCGATGGTTAAAGCCCACCACCTGGGCTCGCCTACGGAAAGAGGTCAACATGATTATAGGACCAAAAGACACCTGCAGGGATGGATTTTCCCTTACAGGAGAAAAGAGTGGAGATGTGAGCTGAAAGCTCAAGTCCTGCACCCGCCCTGTGTCCACATGTAGTGCAAGACCATCGTCTGCAGGACCTCCAACACCAGCACACCAACGCCGCTGCCGGCGCACGCCCAGCCCTGCCTGCTCCCTGCCACCAGGCTGTGCAACTGCCCTGCGCCAGCGCCGCGGCTGCAAACACCCCCGCCACCTGTGCATCTCACACAAAATGAAAAAGCATTTGTAAGGCAGGCAGTGAAGGAGCCTTGCTCCTTCCAAACTGCCCAGATCCAAAGCCAGAAAGTACAGAAAGCAAAACTACAAGGTCGGGCTTCTTGCAGACCCGTTGGCCCCATCACACCTTCCAGCCCAAGCACTGGGCAGAGGCACCGCGGCTGCACTGACGAGGAGAGCAACGAAACGCTCGTTATCCACCCCAGCACCGCGACCTGTCACTTACAGGTGGGCAGCTGGGTACGAAACCCACAGCCATGCCCTGCTAAACACCACCCCTGCCCGTGCTGGCAGATAAAGCCGTCAGGCTGTCACCTCAGGCAAAGCCAACAGACACAGCTTCACAGTAGGGCTCTTTCGGCTTCGCTGTTGGGGCTCTCCTAGAACAGCTCAGAGTGAGAAACACGGGTCCAGCGGAGCACAGAGATGGAAGCAACTCTTAACCCTTCAAAGCAAAGGAGAAACAAAGAAAAGCCCACAGCTTCCAGGGCATTATCACAGGTCTGCTCTCCCGGAGAGAGGCTACGAACACACACAAAACCACAGACACGCGCAGGGCTTGGCCAGTGCTGGTAGCACAGCCCCCAGGCAGGCAGCTCTCCCCACCCCCAACGGGTGTAAAGAGTGCGCTGGTGGGACAGGAGGACAGGCCATGGTGCACAAAAGGCCTTCTGAGAAACAGGGACACAATTTTGGGGAGATTCCTCCCAAGGCAAGACAAGGTCCTTACGTTTTACCCACGTATCAGGCACACATACACTGCTGCTTGCAAAAGGTGCTGGAAACCAGAGCAACGTGCACCGGCAGGGATCCGGCTCAGCTGGCCAGGGTCCCAAGCATCTCCCCTGTCTCTGCCGCATCAAGGGATCAGGAAGATCACACAGATTTCGCTACAGACCCACAACCCCAAACACTGCTCCAGGTGTCCTCTGAGAAATGTTTTAACGTCTCTGGCTCCCCAGAGCTATGGGGTTCTCCCCCGTGCTGTGCTGAGGCTAATGGGGATTGACTTTCACACGGTTTTTTTTTCTTCCCTTCAGATTTTAAAGCAAAAGCCAAGCACTTCAATCCACTTTGAAATGGTGCAATTAAACCAATTTCTGAACAATTTGGAGCTCTCTTCCACAGGAAGCACTAAGCAAAGCCACACTTTTCAGTATTTTGAATAGGGAAAATATTCATACATCTCTGCAGCTCTCAATCCATTCCCCCAAGCAGGGAGCTGAAGAGATTTACACTGACATGCAAATCCCTGCGACAGACTTCTGTAAAACCACTGAGAGGCACACCCAGAGGCAAAGAAGCGTTTCGCACCTTCTGTAAGTAGAAAGTGCAAAAAGGAAAGTGATGAAAGCCACCTCCCTCTCCCCAGACTTCAGCCAAAACTCCTGCCCTATCCTGGCATTCATGTGTCCGCCCCTGATGTCAATCTAGATGATGCTGGTGTCACACAACGCTCTGGGACCCCCATAGCTGTGACAGAGGTGGCAACACTCTTGACACCAACACCACATCAAGGGCAGCCCGGTCCATGGATGCCAGCACCACTGCCTCTGCACACCAGTGTCACATGGACCTCACACGCCACCAGAAAAAGAAACCACCAGATACAAGTGCCATACCTTCCTCCAAGTCGTTCCTCAGGGAAGCCTCCAGCAGAGCAACGCTAGCTTCGAAAGACACTTTCTTTCGGTTAACAGCGTTTCTCTTCTTTTCATGCTTCCGCTTCTTGTGCTGCATCTCCTTCTCGTACTGCGCCCATTTCTTCAGCTGCTGAGCCCTCCGCTTCTGGGCTGCCCGCAGCCGCTCCAGCGTGGGCACCTTGTCCAGCAGCTGCAGCTCTGTCAGCAGGTCCACGTGGGCATCCATCGCTTCTGCCAGGAGAGAGGGTGTGAAGGTTGTCCCAGCGGGAAACGATGTCCCACCACAGGTCCTGTGGGTTGCAGCCACCTGCTGCTATATCAGCATCTTGAAGCCAAGCTGGGAAGGGCCCATTGCAGTGTCCGAAGAGAATATGGTAGAAACCTGAAATGAGGAGGAAAGCGTGAGGGATCAAGTCTCACCATCCCATCCACAAGCAACTAAGACCAGTCTGTTGGAAAACACAACAGGCAACACCTATCATCTCAAAAGGCAGCTCACTTAATTGTGCTTTAATTGTTTGGATGTTCTTGCTGGCCTTTGTGATTCCACCCTTTACCCACTCCAAACACCCAAGCAAAACCCTCTCGATTCAGCAGTAATTTTAGTGTAGAATTCATTCATGTCTGTAGTTCAAGGTAGCCCTCTTTTACAAGACGAAGAAAGTCTTAATGAAAAAAGATCACAGAGACATGGAATGATTTGGGTTGGAAGGTACCTCAAAAATTATCAAGTTCCACCCCCCTGCCATGGGCAGGGACACCTCCCACTAGCCCAGGTTGCCCAAAGCCTCATCCAGCCTGGCCTTGAACCCCTCCAGGGATGGGGCATCCACAGCTTCTCTGGGCAACCTGGGCCACTGCCTCACCCCCCGCACAGGAAAACATTTCTTCCCAATATCTCATCTCAATCTCCCCTCTTTCAGCTTCAAACCATTCCCCCTCGTCATAGCCCTCCACCCACTGATCAAGAGTCCCCCCCCCCATCTCTCCTGTAGGCATCTTCCATAGTATTTGATATCATTCCTCAGACATCTCAGGAGAGATTCAAGTACTGAGACACATCCTTCCATCCAGCTGACCCCTTCCAGCATAACCATCACCCCTCGTTACAGGTGTCCAAGGCTGCAGCCAGGACCGTGCTGCACTGATGCACACCAGCAGCCGCCTCCCTGAAGCATTTCAGTCTGAGCAGTAAAACACAGGGCAGAGGGGACCAAGACTGCAGAGGCAGAGCCCAGGGCAGCCACAGACCCCAGATGTGCCATCCCAGCACAAGCAACCCACGAGCCAGAGGCTGGAGATGCATGAGGCTACTTGTCCAGCACCCCGAGGCCAGGCAGGTTTTCCCAGAGGAGCTCTACACACCAGGAGCAACATCTGCACTCTTCTATGTCATCCATCGGTCCCTTCTCACCCCAGCCCTAGCCCAGCGCAGACGGACAGGATGTGGCTCCCAGAGAGCTATTACTAACACTTAAACCGCCTCAGCTACCTAAAAACAAGGGGTTTTGTGTTGATTTCTCTCTTCATTCAGGTTTTGTATTGATCAAACACTATGTCATTCTGGCTTTGCTGCATGGGCTCCTCAAGCACAGCAACAAGAGCAGTCAAATCACAGCCCCAGCCTCTCGGTGTGACCACGACATCAGAGACCTCTGAGCAGCACTACTGCAGAGCGATCAACCAGGGGACCCATGGGCAGTGGCTCAATCAGCTGTTGCACAGAAGGAGGAAACATGGCCCAGATTTAAGGAGCGGTCCAACAGGGAAAGGTGTGTTTGAAATAAAGCCAATGTCACAAGCTAATTGAATGTGTCCTTTCCAATAGACCCGTGCAGAGCACAGCGAATGGCAGGGTCAGCATGCCACATCACTGCAGGCTGCAAATAAACATGTACGAGATGAGAGCTGTTATGGTTCAGCTAGCTTGGGAACGAAAAAAAAAAAGAAAGAGTTGTTCAGGAAAGGAGACTGGAGAGCTTAACTATTCACAGGTACCCGAGAAAGCCCCAACTGGGCAGCTGAAGCCATTCCTTGCTCAACCCTCCTGCTCCAAAAGAGAAGCAAGAGTCTCGTAAGCAATGGATGCAAAGCATCTACGGAAAAAATAGCAGAAGAGAGGCAGCTAGACCCAGGTGAGAGATGTGGTGAGGACACCAAACCTTACCCCAAAGCCAGGAAAAGCCGTCCTCGTTCCGAGGCTGAACCAGCCCAGTCGGGGAGGCATCACCCTGAGGAGCTGCAGGGAAATGTCCGTGCCCTGGAGCACAGCCACCATGTCCCAGTGAACTTCACAAGGCTGAGACATCTGCTTCTTCCAAACATTGCTACAGACCTTCCAGAGGGGTTTGACCTTACCTATAAATATCTCGGCAGAGTGACAGCGAGGCACACCATTTCCTCTGTGAGATAATTGGTTTGAGAACCGAAAACAAACAAACTCAGCCAGAGCACACAGGCTGGTCCTGGACAGTCGCTTTATCCAGTAAACGGCCAACAGAAGGCCACAGGCAGCTTCAGCAGCACCTGCAAACCTCATCTTGAGGGTTTCAGAATAGACTTGAACAAAAAAAACCTGTTCTGTCCCATGAGAACATAAGATTGCAAAAAAAATGCTTAAGTTCGACATAGGGACAAACCCAAATCCTTGCAAAGTTTTTCATAAGAGAGACACTACCTAGAAATTCAAACACTTGCCCGAGATGGAAAATATCAACTCATGACTTTAGCATGCCACTGGAAAGCGAGGGAAGCTTTTATTTTGGGACAGATGCATTTTCCAAGCCCAGGCACTTGGCTGGAAAGCTCTTCACCACCTCTCGTGACCCCGGCTGCGCACAGCCCGGCTCCTGCCCCTCGCAGAAAAGAAGGTATCTTTTTTGGCAATCTCTGCTCCAGTAACACAGCCTGCAGATCTGAAGTCCCGTTTACAATACCTCGAAGGAGGGGAGATAAGGGCAGGAAATGCCTCTCGGCATACCACACGCGGCACTCCCACCCTGCTCCTTCTCCAGGCCACTTCTGCCATTGTTCGCTGAAAGATGAACAAATATTTTCAAAACACACCTGAAGTAGAAACGAGGACCTAATTCTGCGGGTTTATTAAAGCAAATATACCTTATTTCAGCGTTTCCCTGTTTACCCAAAAAAAGTTGTCAGCTTTCTTGGTGGTATTAGGACTGCACCTTGAAAGAGCAATGGGACACTGATTTATAAGGAGAAGCGTGGCTTGCTCTGCCTGCCTGTCTTTCAGCTTTCCTGCACACGCCTTGTCCTCCAGCAGCTCCTCTGCTCTCACAACAGAACAAAGGGGAGATTTAAGTGGCCTAGAGAAGGGAAAAGACATCTTCTGGAAGTACCAGACACCAGCACCTCCTCAAACCAACCAGCAAATTTATTAGGTAGAAATGTTTTCCTGTGCGGGGGGTGAGGCAGTGGCCCAGGTTGTCCAGAGAAGCTGTGGATGCCCCATCCCTGGAGGGGTTCAAGGCCAGGCTGGATGAGGCTTTGAGCAACCTGGGCTAGTGGGAGGTGTCCCTGCCCATGGCAGGGGGTGGCACTGGATGGGCTTTAAGGTCCCTTCCAACCCAAACCATCCTGTGATTCTATGAAATGAACATCTAAAGGAGCAGAGAGATCACCCTGAGAGCTCTTCCTGAAGGGGACACAGATCAACTTCTCCCAGACTGAGGTACAAGTCCCCCAGCACCCTCCACAGACCCCAGAGCCTCCCAAATACTTCACCTCCATCACTCCACTCCGGCTGCCTCTTTTCCGATGACCTAGTTTCTTCCCTGTACCAAAAAAATGTCCCATTGACTTCTCGTCGCACAAACTGGTCGCTCTAACTATAGCACTGTGCCAGGCCACAGCATTTGTTTACCTGCAGAGCGACACAGAAGCTGGCTGTGTGGGTGTCTGTGGTTTGCAAGGCATCACATTTTGGTTTCTGTTTTATTTAAAGACGAAGAGGAAAAAGTGCTTGACGAAGCTGAGTTTCCGTGAGCTCAGCAGATCTGCCGCCATGCTGAGCACATCCTGCCAGACACACAGCCCCCAGCCCCGCAGGGACCACGGGCGACTCTGTTTCAGGGGCCAAAAGGAAGGCGAGACGCTGGCTATTGTATTGCACTCCTGCCATCGCCGTCCTCTCAGCGCTGCAGCACAGAAAGACCCGCTCCAACCATGTCAAAGATCAGTCCCTACAAAGTGCACTCAAGTGTCAGCAAACACAAAGGCTTTTTAAAAAAAAGTTTCTATTTCCTGTACGTTTTGTCTCACCTTAGTACAAGATTCATCTCACTAAGCTCAAAGGACTTCCAGGGCCCTGGTTACTCATGCAATGCAAGAAGAGATGGCAGTTCTGTGAAGTGAGAGTTTACTGAGTCAGTGGTTGCAACAAGCTGCCCACCCCGTACCACCAACCCTGCCTGGAGGGATCCTCCATCTCCTGTACACACAGTTCCTCCCATTTCACATTTAGAGGTTGGCACTTGCATCCCACAAAGGAGAAAACCAAGTGCACTTATCTTCCTGCTCCAGCAAACACTCGGAGCTGCTCCCCCTGACCTTCCCACAAAGCATTCAACTTGCAGACGCTTTGCCGTAATATTGCTGAGGTTGGAGCTGGATCTATTAAAACAGCCATGTTGCTGAGTGATGCTGGAGAGCCATCTCATATCCTTCCCAGATGATGAAGCTGGAGCGAAGACCTGCAAATCCTCCGTCACATCTCCCCAAGGCTCTACTTAAAGCACAGCATGACACTGAAGCAGAACACAAACACTTACAAGAGTCCTTCACTTAAGTGTCATCAATTGACTTCGGTTTTATTCCACTTAAAAAAAACCAAAACAAAACACAAACCATGGAAGAGCAACCCTTGAAATGAAATCGTTCAGCAACTAAAGAATTCTTCTAAATTGTGCATCTTGCAAGCAAAAGTAAAATTCAAGACTGAGGTATGTGGGCAGCCACTTCTGAAGTCAAGGAGATCATTCCCATTCACTGGATTGCTTGTGGGGAGGCACCTGCAGGATCGGGTCCAGACAATGAGGTGAAGCGTCTGCATTTGCAGCATAAAGTCAAGTCAGTGGCACAAAGAGCGACAGAAATAGCCTCTCCTCCTCACCCCAAGCTAATCTTCTCTCAGCTGGAATTGGAAACCAAGCATGAAAGCCTATAGCAGGGATCTGAGCGCATAAGCAGTCTGCAGAGGAGGTGGCC